AGGACAAACGCAGCGGTGGAGAAGGAGCAAAGCTGCCTGCAAAGTGGGTCAAGCGTGGAATGAACACTGTAGGATCCTCTCAGACAAGGCTTCTCCAGGGTCACCCCCTTTTTCTTTATAAAATCAGGAGGCAGAAGAGAGCAGTGGTCACTGACCACTCTTGCACTGACAGCTACGATAAAGAAGGGGTTTTCACAGAAAGTTTTATGATTAGGCAGGGTGGTGGTGGGTGTTTTTTCAAACTCTGGAAAAATAAAGGCAGTTGGGAGCCAGGCAAAAGCCTTTCAGCCCAATCGATCATGCAATTATCGGTTTAAACAGTACACTCCTCTTTGACAATTTAGCCCTTGGTTTTTAAATGCATAATCCAGAAGACAGTTTCTATATTTAATAAAAATTAGGAAAAACCCCAACCCTTCCAAAAAAAACCAGTTGTGTTTGGGGGAAATCTGATGAGGAAGATGTATACAGAAGTCAACAAGCAGACCAAATAGCAAAGGTTTAGTTTGATTTATACAACCCCATGCAATGATACAAGTATCTGCAAAATGGAGATTCTTCTCACCAGAAGCACCTGCCCCAAAGTTTTCACCCAGGACACTCACCCCCAATTGTGCTGCCCCTCTTCCAACGCCAGTCCCAGGGCAGCGCAGCCTGGCATGATGCTGCCGTTGGCAAGGTCACCAAAAACGAACTGATGCTGGTTTGAAGCTATCGGGCCACATACACCCCCCATTTATTTCTAGTTGATGTTTTGCAAACCACAACCGAAGTCCTGACACTTTCACAGGAGTTTCAGGAATGAGCCAACAGGATAACCACTGATCCCGAGTCCCGTGTACCGTAACCCAATGAGATGCTGTTTTAAACACAGAAACATCGGCTGGAAGGGACCTCGCTCTCCCCCCTGAAGCAGCACTAGCACCAGTGCCAGCTCAGCTGTGACAACTTCCAAGACTAGATATTCTGCAGCCTTGCCAGTTCACCTGTTCCAGTGCTACAGCACCCTCCTATTCTAAAAGCTGTTATGTCCAACCGAGTTTATATGTTGACTAATTACATATATATAATATTTAGGTACTATTAGTGATTAATGTTTTATACACCAGCAGCAATCAGTTTAATCTTCATCCAAAAGCAGTTCTGTTCACCATAGAGTAATTAAGAGATCAGGAGCTGTAGTTCAACCCATCTTAAAGAATAAAGCTTTTAAGCCACAGCACAGGTTTTAAAAGGCTAAAACATGCAGCACTGCTTAATTTAAAACCAAAAGTGTTGTTTCAGCCTTTTTTCCTGTATGTATGCCAAAGAACTCTGGTCCCTTGCTCAAGAGAGCAGCTTGCCTTTATTCTCATCCAAAAGGAGCACAGCCAAATGAATTAGAGCACCAAAATAACTTTAAAAAACCACAGTAGGCTGACTCATGAATGCTTACTCTGCAGGGCTTTTTTAGCATATTCATGGGTACTGAAAGATTTCTATTAACACTTTACCTGTTTCCAATCTTCTCCTGGAACTTGCAGAGAACTAATACTCTGTGCAGTGATCACTGTAGCATGCAGAAGGCACCCTACGCATTCTACAAGACTTCAGGAAACATTCCTTTAACCTGTGCAAAAACCCTTAAAATAGATCTTTCTAAAATAGAGTTTCCATGAGTGCTCAGCATACAGATAAAAAAAAAAGCAATTAAAGTGATAAACAAGCCCGTGACAGGTGCATAAGGAAGTGGTGAGAGTGGAGCCACACCTTCAATTAATTGGAGCAGCACTTAATTTGAAATTCAAAATTGTGATTTGATCACACTTGCCTCTTCTTACAGACCATTTCTCCAGAATGAACAAGCGCATCTATCCTTCAGCCCCCTCCTGCTCCTTAGCTCACAGCTCCTCCAACAGCAGGAACTGCGCTCCTGTATTACGAAGGAAATGAAGATGATGGGGCAACAGGGGAAAAACAGGAGGATGTGTTTATTGAACTATGAAAAAAGGCCCAAAATAAACCTAGTGCTCATGTAACAGTTTTCATGTTGTATTGTACATGAGGAAATCCTGTGCGTTTAAGATTCAGGCTGAATTTCTGAATTGCCAGAGCAAAGACTTTGCCCCAGGCTCTTTACGCACAATTATTTTATGAAACTGACTTTCAGTGTTTACTACTATAAAAAAGAAAAAAAAAAAAACCCTCATGCGGAACAGTGGAAGCATGGATACCAGGTACCAGTAACTCTCAGAAATCTTTCCTCTACTAACATTTCCAGATGGACTTTTGATACTAACCAGACTGAAATACAGGCAGACAAGACGTCAAAGCTTTCATCAGCAATATCTACACTCACCGCCTTTTTCCCAAGGCAGAATTTATTTTGTTATCATCCAGACACATGGGGAAGAACAGGGTAACTGGCTCTGTGTGTCTTCACTTGCCCGTGCATCAAGTATCCTTCCAGGGTATTGTCAAAAGATCCAAAATCGGCAACGCTGCCCAAGTGTTCGAAGCAGGGAGACTGACCACATATGCGAATGTCAGCAGCTGGAAACAATCTGACCTGAGCACCAGCCGACAACACAGGCACTGATTTACCTTGGAGAAAATGTCCCTTTACATATGCAGCACTCGCCGTCAGTCACCGACGGAGCAGGGGCTGCTGCAGCAGCCAGCCCTGTGTCAGGGGCTCTGCGGCAGAGGGAGGCCAGGGCAGCCGAGCCGCCGGGGATTGCTGGCCAGGACAAACAGAGCACAGGAGAGGTGTAGAAAGCGTGTGAAGGGGAAAAAACCTGGCAAATCTACACACTTCAAATCCGTCCCATTTTTCCTTTCAAAAACAATGTTACTGAATGTTTTCCTGTGTAGAAGTGCAATTTGGTCTCATTTTTGACCTAATGACCCCTTAGTTCAGAAGGACAGGCCTCCACAAATGAAGGGTGTTTACTTGAGTCTGCTACGCAAATTCAGGTAAATGGCCAAATGACAGGACATCAGTAAGTGTCACTTAAGTAAAATGCAATGTGGAAAGCTCAACACACACACTCCCCCCCCATCTGTCCAACAACAACAGGATTCTACTGACTCTATCCAAATTCTGAGAAACAGAAGAAAAAAGGGGGAAGTTCTTCGTAGAAAAGTGTCAGGTTTCATTCATCACTGCCTTCTGACAAGTCAAATCCCAACGTTAGCCCTCCTCACTAACCACTGGGTTTAACTATCCTGCTTAAAAAAATATTACTGAACTACCACAATACAGATTTCCAGCTACTTCTATTTCACATTTCATGGAATTTACCAGTCTTCGTAGTGAAGAAGGAAACATCAATGCTGATCTCCCAAACAAGTACAAATCCTAATCATGCTCACTTCTCTGCAGCCAGTGTCATCACAGTTTGAAGTAAAGGAAGTTTTGCTCAGGTGAACTTTAATCAGTCAGCTACCAATAAATCAGACAGTAATTATTTCTACTTGAAGTTTTCTTTCTCCTCTTGAATCTTCCAAACATGCTTTTAGCTGGTTAGTACTGCTGGCGACCAATCTCCATCAGAGTAACATTTTTTTTGTTCACAATGAAATCGTCAAACAGCCAGTCACAGCATAATTATGGGGGAAAGTGCAAAAACTGGCGTGACTTTCAACATTTTCCATTGACTCTACTAACAACTTCTTGCATTTGTATACAGAAACTGAACAAATGAACTGACTGCTCCCCCCCAGAGCAGGAGATGAGTCATGACAATTAAAATAACAGGGAAAACAGAAAATAGGGCAAAGTCGTTATTCTTGAAGGAATGGTGTCAATTAAGGCACAAACTTCTATCTACAAAAACATTTACAGAGAATGGCAAGCGAAAGGAATTTGAAGTGAACTACTCTCTACAGCAAAGGATTTTTCTTTTTTTTTTTTAATAGTGATCAAAGCAAGAGTTGCCAATATACTAAAAAAAGACACTTCAGATGCACTTATTTTTAGTATGCACTTTTTCCTGTAAGAGATCCAACTGCAGAAGACTGAGCACTCTCCAGAAACCATTTGGAACCCAACCTACAGGACAAGTCTGAATTTTTGCTAAAGAAAAAAGCAACCACTCAAGCCTTTCAAAAACGGGATGAAGTAATGCTTGATGAAATGCAGCACCTTCTTTGCAAGTTAAAGAATTCAGGTCTCCCAGCAGAAAAGCAAGAAAGCCCCAGAAAGTGTGTCTAGGACTAGGCCTCCAGGTAAGTTGGACACTTGCAAAATTTGTGTACTCTTCCTTAGAAGCAAGCAGCAGGGGAAAAAAAAAAATCCTCTATGTTGTTGCAGAGTCTACATTTTGCCCAAGGAATTTAAAGTCTCTTAAACAATATGAATATTAAGAGTCCTCTATTAAAACAACAGCCAGGTACATCTTTTTAAGATATACCCATGAAGTTTCAAGCACAAGCCTTAAGAAGGCATAAAATCTGAATTTCTGTTTTGAACAAAATAATCAAATCAGAATTCGAATTCTGAAACAACTCAGTAAAAAGGAAATATTTTAACAGACATTAACATAAAACACATACCACTATTTTTCAGAAGGGAAGCTTCTACACATATTACTAAACTTCAAGCTATTTCCTTTAATATTTAGAAAACTGGTTTTATTCTTAGTTTTCCAGAAAATGATTTTAAGTATTAGCACCTACATTGTCAATTACTCAAACTTAGATTTACACTTGAAAAAAAGCCATGCTCAATCAATTAAGTTATCCTAGATTCTTCCATTTTTGAGTATTTCAGTAGAGCACTGAGAGGGAGAGAGCGCAACATGTCAGTAATAAGCGAGCTCTGTTCTCAGCCGCATGACATCAATGACCAGGCACCTCCCTGGGACAGAATTCAAAAGGTCAGAGTTTTCCAGCACACACCAATCACCTCAGTTTTAGTTATTTAAGGTGGACATTTCTATGCAAGTTTATAAAACCCATCCAGCTACATGTTAGTTTATTAAACCACAGTTGACCTGAGATGCAATTAGGATTTGACATTTTTCCATACTTAGTTCACAAGTTTATTATGAAAAACACTGCAGCTCTGTCCTGCAGTAACATTGTTTTACAGAAAAAAACAGTTCTGTTCAAAGTAATTCACTATCCTTGGACAATTACAAGGGACAATATGGTAGGGCAAAGAGTGGAAAAGGGAACTGAGTGCAGACAAAAAAAAAATCAATACAATTAAATTAAACAGTATTCCCTGAAAACAAAACAAACAAACAGTTTCAGAACAAATATGAGGCCTTGGTACTTATTTTAAAAATGTTCTTTAAGCTTCAATGATTGTTTGCTGCTACCCTTATCTACAGTCATGCTGAATAAAGCTATAGCTAAATGGAAAGTTAAATGTATTCACGAGGTGTTAATGTCTACATCTTATTATTTGCAGTCTCTCAGAGAAAGCAAAAGTAACTACAAATAGCGCTATGCCAGAAACTGGTTTCTTGACCAACAATGTTGCTTCAGCATGCAATGAACTGGTTCATTCTAAAGTGGTCACAGTTGTTGACGACAAGAGGCTTTGTATTTGAATATGGCACGTCTTTTGGTCCATGTGAAAACAAGTTTGAATGTTAAGTATTTTCTGACACTTTGGAGTTACTGTTGCTCTTCCCATTTTCTTTAGGTCAACATATGGTTCATGGCAATACTGTACAGGTCTAAAATCTCTTTACAGGAAGTAGTCTGGGGTGCGACGAGTAACATGCGGTTCACCTCTACGTGGTGCTGGATCAAACTGCAAACTGAAAAGCATAGATATTAATGAAACTGCAAGAGTTCAGTTTACATCCAGGTATGTTTTATATGTGAATTACAGTAGCAGTGGTCTGAACACAGGTAAGTCTTTTCAAGTTTTTTCAACTGATTAAAGTCGTCTAGAACAAGTGCTCAACTTTTTCCACTCCTTCTATTAGTATGTATTTATAATCCCCGTATTTTAAACTCCTCTTATGATTACTACTATGGACTGGAGAGAAATGAATCTTAGCTTTAAGACTCATAAATTGGTCAAACGTTAGTATACATTTAGAAAGTTCAAGTCCCCAGTAATTGTCAAAGGGGGCAGTTTACACAATGCTTTTGCCTCGTTTACTAGTAAAGTTGCTGCTGAGGTAGTTAATTAGAAACCTCATAGAAAAAGCCAACATCCTAACATCTGAAGAATTCGAAGATTCCTAAAGTCTCTTGCCCTAGACTGATAGGAGGGCATTACCTCAGACATGACAGAGTACTCCTACTCTCAAATCACATACCTCTATAATATTTCATTAAACTCCAGTTACACAAAACAAAAACAAGGAGTCTCATCTGACAGACAAGATGTCAACAACAACTGTTCCAGATACTTGACTCCAAGACTTTAGATGCGACTAACCCAACAATTCCACATTCACTTCACCTCCCAAAAAGCGTATAGGGAAAAACCGTACCTTAACAATAATTAAGTGGTATCTTGCTACAGCAACTATCTTAAAATCATGGGCAATGTAAATGTCATTTTTAAACGTACTTACAAGGAGTATTTTAGAGTATCATCAAGTTCCATAATTGCAGCCTGGTTGCCACAACGGTAACAATAATTTGGAGCACTGAAAATTGTTACTACATTCCGATCATGGCACCAGTTGTACCCCTGGAGAGGAAAAAAAAAAAATTATGACAGCCAAGTTCATTTGTTGTACCCCATATAAAAATTGAGTTTAGTCAGATAGTTACACACAAAACCCTAAGTGGCATTCGTAGTGTCATTTTAAATAAAATTAAGGCTGTATCTTTATTTGTCTTCTCGAGAGAAAAAGGGTAAAAAGGAATTTTGGCCTTCCTATGTTGCTTCTTACTAGTATGCATGAGCTGAACTTATGGCCTTCCTATGTTGCTTCTTACTAGTACGCATGAGCTGAACTTATTTTAAAAAAAAACAACAACAACAACAACAACAAAACCAGCAGGCATTCTCCATTGCATTAGCATTAAAAAATGAAAACAGCAATTCTGAAATACACAATCTATTCTGAATCTTCAGCTGCTATCACCAAAACCAGAATCCAGACATACATTTTAAAATCTTGACTGCCAGAGATAACTAGAGACTAAGAACAAAAACACACATCCAAGGTAAATAGGAAAAATACATCTTTTTTTTCCAAGGCACACATATTTGTGTGCATTTTAAGAACCTTTTTATCTACACAGAAATGCAATACCACATCTACTACTCAAGTTTGTTTTGGGACGTTACTGTAAATTTTCAGAAAAACGGCCAAAATAAAGGTTACTCCATTGTCAAACTGAGAAACTCCTTCAGTAGCACGTGAATACTGTCAAAATAGAAAACGGCCAAAATAAAGGTTACTCCATTGTAAAACTGAGAAACTCCTTTAGTAGCACATGAATACTGTCAAAATAGTGTTTCTGGAAGACTCTCAGCTGGATCATCCGTTGTCACAGCAGCACATGCACATCTCTGACACACAGAGTACAGTATTAATGCACCAACTGTGCAATCAAAAGTTTAAACGCACAGGCCATCCTGCTTACCTCCATTACCAACTGATGAGCTCTTGAAACCAATGTAAGGCCATTAGCATGGTTAAAGGTTTCTGAAATATCCTGTCCAAATGTATAACCTGCACCTCGAGGAGAAATTCCCCAGCCACCGCGATCATCTGGATCTGACCATAGCAAGTCACACATTGGACCCTATAAGAGATGTAGGAGATGTTTCAGAAACGGAGACCCCACAAAAAACCTACACACTCATACCAGCCCTGCACAACTTGTTGCAGCATCTCTTTAAGACTTAAAAAAAAAAAAAGCCTATCAACTACAACAGCTAGTGCAGTTAACACTTCAAATACTATCAAGAAGTTAATCTGAATGAAGAACTTTCATAGTAGTACTCACCTCTGAGATCATTAAGTAGTACCTGTTGAGATCCTAGGCACACTAAAATATGTTTCTTTCTTTAGGCAAGAACATGCCCTTTACTTTTCCTTCAAAAAACTAGAACAGGAAGACAGGCACTTTCATATTGCTAAGTTGTTTTGCATTTCATTTTCGGCCTGTGTACTCAAATACCCAATATATGGTATCATGAATCCCACCATGAGTTTGGACAATTATTTTTCAGTACCTCATGGGGAACTTCCTGCAAGCGATCAAGTGCTCTGATGTGATCCAGTGTATCTATCGAAGGAGAGAGGCCACCATGTAGACAGAAAATCTGGAAGAGTTAGATATATGAAATTTATCGCATTCATTTACATTAATCATATCAGTGCAATTATAATCCTTTAGTATAAATGATTAGGAGAAAATCCAAAAGAGATTCCTTTAAAGCTGAGAGCTAATAGAATACAGTGTTAATAGCTCCCTTTAAAACTAGTAGCATTTAACTTTGTAAAATTTCAACATACCTGGCCATCCACCAAGGCAGTTAGAGGCAGGTAATCAAAAAGGTCTGTAAAGTATTTCCAAACATTTGCATTTCCGTATTTTCTTAAACATTCATCATAGAAACCATATACTTGTGTGATTTGCCTGCTTTCATGGTTCCCTCGAAGAATTGTGATACGTTCACGGTAACGGACCTAAACATAACAGTTTACTTTAGATGCATCAAAATACATATGTCTTCCCGAAAAACAGAATTTGCACCCCTCAGCCCCGTCATATGTCAATAAAGCAATAAAAACCTAACCCTTCGCAAGTAAAAACTAAATACAGCACTCATTTTAGAAAAAGTTCAGGCTTGCACCTGAACGTTCTTTTTTTTTTTCAGAAGTATCTCAGAAAACTAAGACAGCCAACATTTCAGGTTTTGTACCTGTAATACCAGTGTAGTGCAAATCATAACAGATATTAAGTGTAGTCAGGATAGTAAATGTACATGTCTTATACAGAATTGTACAGTTGAGAAGAAAAGTTACCTTAAGAGCTACAAGCAATGTGACTGTTTCGACTGAATAATAGCCTCTGTCAACATAGTCCCCCATAAACAAATAGTTTGTGTCTGGTGATTTGCCTCCAATTCTGAAAAGTTCCATGAGGTCGTGAAATTGTCCATGGACATCTCCACAGACTGTGACTGGACATCGCACCTCTTGTACATTAGATTCTTTTGTCAAAATTTCTTTAGCCTATAAAAAGCAAAAAACACAGAAATTGTGAGTTTGTCTATGAACAGACATTTTATTCAAAGTATGCTCTACCACTTCCAGCTTTCTACTACCTGCCCTCTTTATCAACTCTTGTCCCTTCCTTGTCTGAAGCACTTGGGGATAAGAGTTTATCTTTACTTAAAACAAAACTTGGCTTTATACAACCCTGTATTAGTAGCAGAGTTTTGTTTTGGTGTTTTTTCCCTCCTCAAAAAGAGGATTTTAGAATTAATTTCCAGCGCAGAAAAAAAAACCAAACCACACTCAGACTTTCTACAAAAATAGTTCCATGAAGCATAAAACAATGATCATCACTGCTAGAATTGAAGAAGTTTATAAGTATTTCGAAAAATTAAATCTAAAATTATACCAATGTCTTATCTCCAACCCTCCACAAGCCTGAACTCAGACATGGCCAAAGCCGAGACTCTCCCTCGGGCAGGTGAACACAGCCATATCAGCTAGCAAAAGCTCCTGGAGTTCTACACTTCGGACGTCCTGCTTCAGAAGCCCGTTTGCCAAACATCTATACATACATCTTGGAATGCAAAGGCAGAGAGTCCTACACGAAGCAGAAATAAGAATGTAACATGCAGTGGTATCAGCAATTGCAGAGCAGGTGGTTTACTTGCCCAAGCTTTCTGAACAAGTTTTGTGTTTAAGTACACACAAGTAACACTGAGTTGTGTCTTTATAAACCAAAGTAGGGAAACATCTTTTTCCCACAAAATTGTGTACATAAAAGTTGCAGACAAAGGCAATTCGTACAAAGAAACACAAGCTAAATATAGCATCCGAAAGGTAATTTTGACATAATGCAAGAATTCCTTAATCGTACCATCACACTGCCAGCTGTTACAGTTTGTTCTCAGAAGTCACCAAACACATGCCACAATAATTTTCTAAATCAAGAAGGTATTAGAAATATAAATAGCAACAAGTTTACAAGTTAACATCTACAAAGATTTCCATGCCTTTCAAGCGCCAATGTTCCTATCCAGAAAGGATCCTTTTTTACCTCATTACCAGAATGACAAGAGAATATATAAAAACTATATGCTATTTTATAACCCAAGATGTCTACAAGACTTGCAGAAACAGCACCAAATACCACCTATGCACAGGCCACGCTGAATCCAAAATATTCTGAAGCATTCACCAAGAAGAGAGATGGAAGAGCAACACCACATTCATTTTAGGGTTACTTTTCTTAACTTTATCAAACCTAACTCAACAACTAAAGCAGCATACTCATTTCTGGGGGGTTTCTGCTAAGCAAAGAAGTCTTTTGAGACACCAGAAAAAATTTATCATAATCTAAAGAGCACTGGATTTTAAAAAGTCAGTAAAGAAACATTTGAAGTTAAAATCTAAACAGTATATTAAACACTGGGCATTGACATGAGTCAAGCTATTAAGAAACATGCTGCTGTGTCCAAGTTTGCACCCTATTCATGAAGTCATTAGCTGGACAGTGACTGACACCCCCACCGCAAAAGTGGTCTCACTGTTCTGGCGTATTGTCCAGGCTCACCACCACGGTCACCACTTCAAACAAGAAAAATGCTAGCAACACATAGTTTAACAATGGAGATGCATGAAATTCAACATTTCATTCAACACTGGAAAGAAATGCAAAAATGCAATCATGGTTAAGCTCCCTGCACAGCGCAGAGCTTTAGATATTACAGCATGAGCAACAGAGTTAAATCACTCTGCAGACATATTTACATCAAAAGTCAATCTCATATGACAGTTTCCACTCATGTTGTGCCTAATACTAAAGATAGGTCATTGCTGGCTTGTGGTAGATGCTAAAAGTGTAGATTTATTTTAAGATAGCCTGACTTAAGTTCATTTTAATGCAGTGACACTCACCGGATGTTTTGAGGGCATTTTAACAGCCTTAGCCTCTTCTAATACATTCAGAAGCATTAGCCATCTTAATTCTCCTTTTGACAGAGAACGTTACAGATACTTATAGTGCTTCAATATAAAACCCCTACTCTTTAATTTACAATGTTTTCTACTGCCTTATTTTCTTAACACACTGGAAGCATTGCACAAATAATGCAGCATTCATTTTTCATCAAAGGTATGCAACGTTTATGCTGACTGAGACTAAAATGGCATAGTTCTCAGCAACGGAGTTGTTGCTTCCTCAGTTCTTGAAATATTAAAATCACTTGGATGTGCATATGACCGAACACGTAGGTAAGTCAGACAGCTACTCTGATGGAAAAAGACTGTTCCAGATCAACTTACAAAACAGCAACCTCTATTTAAATCCTGCAATGAAGGAATGCTGGTGCAAGGATTTCAGTATTTCCACGTTCTGAAACAAGTTTCATGAAATACTGCCTCATGAACTGCTTAGCCCATTTACAGTCTTATCATATCCCATGGCATCAACAGTGGCATGTACTGAAGTGCTTAAGCAGTATACTTGCCTCTACAAACGAGCTTTAGCAGAGCTGAAAGCGGAAAAAAATAACACCTTGAAAACAAGCCACCAACAAGTTGTCCAACAACCATATCCCAAATTTCCACATAAAATTAATTCCTATAAAAGGGTAAAGCAAAAATTGTTTTAATATACTATACCATAACAAAAACACAAGTTGGTAAGACAACAGTACATGTAATATTACAATTTCACAGTTCAAGTTTCACAAAAGTTAAGCTATCACTAATATTACTGAAGTATCTGTGACCCTGACTTTGTACTGGACCACACACTGCCCTGTACAACCTCATCTGGTTCCACTCTCTCTTTATTCATCCTTTCCCCAAGGTCCATGATGACGCTACTTGCTCAGCCACAACACGTAACTCCCTCCCTGTCCATCCTCCCCCCCAACACACTGGGCTTCCCACCAGCAGCTCTCCTACACTTCCTCATGGCGAGGAAGTAGCAGAGCATTTCAGCAGCCTTTGACACAAGACAGTACTCCTTGATCAAACCACCTGATGAGGGAGAACTAGGGAAGAGAGAGACACACCTGATTCCCTGTACTTCAAAAACAAAACCCAATGACGTATTGCCAAGAAGTATAATAGTGCAATACCTTTGCAGTATTTTGACACCAACGTTCAGAAACATCGAGGTTTCATCGCCTATCACTAGGATAAACAGTTATGCAATTCTGAAACAGATTCTTCTTGAACACTTATTAGTGCTTTTATTTCTCAGTCTTTTTTCAGTTCTTAACAATTCTTAATATTAAGACAGCCCTGAACTTCTGTATGTCTTCAATCCTCGTAAGTACCCCACACCGCAGAAAGTTTAACTTGTGATGGTATTCTACAATTTAAAAAAGATTAATAAACTTAAGCAAAAACTTGATGTCAACAGCATACTACATTACAATCATAAGACCCTACCTCCAAATCAGCTTAGCTATTTTTTCAGCACTACACACACTGTTTTCAAAACCAAGTGCAAACGGATACAGATTAAGACTGAAAAGAACCTATTATTTCAAATTGATAAATGCTAATTTTATAGCCAAGCACCAGTATAGTCTAATGCAGAAAAAACATGTAGCTGTAAGACACAGTTGCACAAGAAGAGCATAAGGAGAACTAAGTAAAATGCTGTCATAAACAACAATTGCCAAGGTGGAAGTCACGTATTTTACTTAGAAAAATCTCAAAGTTCAAACAATAAGCAGATATCAAATACACTTCAGCTTAGTCATAGTGACTGGAATTCATTCCTACTTGATATCTGAAATATTGGCTTACTCAGCCGTTTCTCTGGAAAGAGTCAACTTGTACAATCCCAAAACACCCAAAAGACAACAAGAATAAAACCAATATTGGTTTAAACACACCAAGAAAACAAGACATTTTCACTTTATTGTAAAGCAAGTAGTACTGCATAAAAATACAACTTAGTATTTAAGAATTAAAACATTCCTGCACTGCTGCACATCTTCTAAATGGCCAGACAAACAGTAAAGCACTGTTTTGTTGCCTTTGTTTACAAAGCACATCTTTTATGCAAAACACTGTTCTTAAAATACAAAGATTAGCTTCCTTGTTTTAAGACAACGCAAGATCCCAGTGTAAACTCTGCATTTTATAATGAAGAGTCAGGGATAAGAACTGAAAAACCTGTATGACCATTAAAGCTACTACCATATGATTTTCCAATCTTCACAATTTTATTCAATGAGATGCAGTGGTTGTATGTATGCAGAGGTATCTCCTATTTCCCCTGTTCCCTGCATATATTTTTATCCTATATGCCACAGAATAAGACTCAGAGTTAAGTGCCATAGAGCCTATAATCCATCCACTCTTTCTCAACTCACTCTATGCTGAGGACAAATGAGTTCCCCTCATGAGCAGAGTGCACCACCAGCCTTGCCTCACAGAATTCAAGTGGTCCATTTCTGAAAAATCCTCTGAATTCATCCATACCCAAATTCCTTTGTGTTTCTAGAACATATCAGTTATTTCTCAATTACTTCTACCCCTTCTTAGATCCATACATTCTAGCAGGAGCTCTGACAGCTCAAACCAACTATCAACCCTGAAAAACTCTGGGGCACATCGGAAAAAAAAAATGCAGTAAACATTACTGTGCCTTTGTAGAATTGTAGAACAATGCTTGAAACTGCTGCATAGCAGCAAACCAGTGCTGTAAAGCACTTATCAAAAGATTACCACTAACTCAGTAAAGGAAATACGACCATTATTTTAATTAGACAATGTAGCTCCAAAGTCATGGTTGCAGATGGTAATGTGTCATTCTTGGCAGACCAGAATTCACACCTGCAACCCACCATGCTGTCTAGTAAAGTGTGTGTTGAGAAGCATCCACTGTAACCAAGAAAAAAAATAGGTATTTGTAGTTACCATAAAGATATTTTGATGAGATCGAAGACTTCAACCACACCCATAATTTCCTGTCGTCAAGATGCACAGGATGTGACTAAAGGCACAATGATCAGCTAATTGGGATGAATACTG